TAAACGTGGAATAATACATTCACTATTTCACTAATACTTCACATTGATATATTAATAGATGTCTCGAAATATGGAACCAAAAATTGCGAACTTTAACTTTTCAAGAATGCACAATGATATTACTTCTGATATCGAAAAAAGCCTTTTGGTTATGACAAACTGGATGGCTCCAGAGAAAATGGAGGAACACTATGGTGAGCAAGGGAAATCAATTAAAGTTTCATACACTCAGAAACAAGAAATTTTCAGGTATAAAAGATATATTCAATATAATCATATAAAACCATAAATGGTATTAATATAAAATGCTTCTCATTATAGTTACGGAATGCTCGTTTGGGAATTATGTTATAGAAAGATTCCTTATAAAGAAATGAGCCCAAACGAAATAGCAGAACATGTCATGAAACGTGGAAGAGAAAAATTATCCGGTCCGTTTTCAGATTCTTTAGTTTCAAATGAGAATGAAATCCAAGAAGGCTTTAATAATATCATTAAATCTGGTTTGTAATATATCCATTTATTCTATATTCCTCCGTTTAAATTATATTTTTAAGTATATCTTTTATTAATTTAAAGCATGGATACACAATGAAGATGAAAGAATTAATATAGATGAATTATATTTAAAGCTTTCAGATTTGAAAAGGAATATCAAATCTGATCCATCACCAATTTTATATTCTTCATCCGAACATTCTCCTGAAGAATATAAACGAATTTTAACAATTGAAGAAGGAATTAAACTTCATCAATCAAACGATCCTCAAAAAAGAATCGTAGCCTGGGAATGCTTTATAACCTATGACTTCTTGGGTAATTCTCTTGCTACATACTGGAAAGGATATTATTTATTGGAAGGTTACTATACTGATAAGCAAAGAACTGAAGATCAAAAGAATAATGATAGGGATAGAGCTAAAGAACTTTTTAAAATTGCAGCAGACAAAGGTATCATTAATGCCCAGTTCTATTATGCTGTTTGCTTGCCGAAGTCAAAGAATTCCAAACCTGAGCTTATTAAATATCTTAGAATGGCTGCTGATAATGGACATAGTGGGGCCCAGTTTAATCTTGCTAGAATACTTCTAGAGAATAATAAAGATAAAGATATTGGATTACGATACTTAAACCTTGCAATTCAGAATAATAACAGAAAAGCAGTAGAATTTAAAAAAAAATTGAATTTAGATATTGACAATTCTAATAATGACGAATAATTTGAATTTTCTAATTTTTATTGATTATTT